ATTTCATCTATCTAGTTTGTTTTTCTACTTGTTGAATTTGATAGTGAAAAGGTGTAGGTTCAACTCCCAAGAGCCTTGGACGTTGCACATAGCCAGATCTTTTTCCAAACTTGTTGGCAAGTTGTAAATCGCATGTCGTCAGGATAGATTCGCGATTCTAGCGCGCGCCGCATCGCTCCGCTTTTTTCGGTCAGGAGCAGGTTTTCACACTCTTTAAGGCGTACCTTAAAAGTAGGACGCTCCTTAAAAATGTAAAGTTATGAGTAAGCGCTCCTCAAATAAGGAGCGTAAGGAATTGCCACTTTTAAGGTACGCCTTAAGGAGCAGTTGGTAGATTATAGGCCCGGTGACGTGCCGTGGACCATGGCAGCTCGATCGGGCCTGTCTTGTCATCTCTTCTACCAGTAAAATGTTTCCATAGGGGTCCATGAGACTGTGCAGGTAGATGATCCTGCGAATCCTTAATCTTGTTGGTGATCTAGTTTCGCTTGCCTCAATGTCAGCCACAGGCAACCTTGGATCGACCGAGACGTCCTTCTTCCAATCGAATCAACCACGCATGTTTTCCACGCCCATTAACGACGAGGAGGAGGCCCATCAAGTTTTCAAAATCCAGGAATACTTCTACGAACATGACCTCGAGAATCTTCTGACTGAGCTCATGGTTGAGCTCGGCAGTCGAATGCCCGAAGACCCCACCCTCTTCATGTGCACCTACATCCGAGAGTGGTTCAATTGTGTCGGAAGCACCACTATCAAGCGCCACGCTGCTCGAAGAGCTTCCACTGGCAGCCTCTCTTGCACACCAGAGAGGACCAAGGGAGGTCAGAAGGCGTCTAGTCCCAACCTGAGCTCCCTCGCTCACGACTTATCCAATGCCGCTCTCAAGAACATGGTCATGGCTAGAGTCACCATGCAGTTGGAGAAGGAACCTTCATCGATCAACAGCTTCGTCATGGAGTGGATGGAGGAGCATCCTACCAAAGTGCCCAGAAGGCCTAGTTTGGCACAAAGCAATGCGGCCTCTGCTCGTAGCCGAGTCAGCACTGAAGATGGCAACTCCAGCATGAAAGGGTATCTTTTCACAAACCTCCTTTGCGCACAACGAAGGTTTTCCATATTCCACTGAGCTCTGTACCAAGTCTTTGGAAGAGCTCACGTCATGGGAGATGGACCGGTTGAGTCTTTCTGAG